TACTCAAGTAATATTCCTAAAGGAGACTTTAACTTTTACCAAAGTAATTTTTTGGTAAGATACTTGTACTTTTCCTCAAGTATCACTTTGTGGTGCTTTATACAACACTGATGTGGACTTTAATTATGTTTAAATTTCACATTCCCGTTTTTAAAAAATAATCCAGAATATGGTTACTGAATGATGGTGTAACCACATGCTACATTACTTTGATTTAACTTTGACACCATTTTGTTACCACAGGCTCCAAGGTTCAGTACATCCTCACKTGCAAGTGAAAATTTACAGTTTTAGTGTTTCAGAGGTCAAACTTTTGTGATTTCTAATTTCAAATATGTTAGTTTGAGGGATTTAGTAGACAAATAAAGAGTAACGTGGAAACTGTGTAWAACTTTAACAGATGTGACCTTTTAAAATAAAAGTCTCATTGCTTATTTAAACTACATTCTGAGGGGAATGAATTAATTTTTAACCAAATACAGAGCAGAACAACCGCCGGATGTTTGACCTTTTGCCCCAGATCTAGTCAATTCTAACTGATGAAACGTCATTGCTACTTGCTTTTACACAATTGAGAGATAAACTAGTGTCATTGTGAATATACAGTTTTCATGACAAAAAGYGTAAAGTCACCGTTCAGGTCAGTGAAGCCGATGGAGAAGTTGACTTGTTTGTTGATTGTAGGAAGATGTTCAGAAGGTACCGTTCCCTGTTCGAGACTCTGAGGAAGAAAAGGCAGTGTGTATTTATAGAAGTGTGATGACAGCTTCTGTGTGCAGGCGTTTGACCCCCAGAGACTGAAACATGCACTGTCTTTAAACCTGAAACATCTCTCTGTTTTTACAAATGAACCTCTCCTCTGCAACATGAGGCTATCGCAGCAAACTGAGACATTTTCAAACAGTGGGGACTGGAAAACCTCACTGAAGTGATTAGCAGCCCCCCCCCCCCCCCCCAAGATAAATATTCAATAGTTAACGTACAGTGCAAAGCCTGAAATCAACTAAACAACTACAATGAGCACTAAAATTTGATTTGGTATCCCATAATAGCTGATGATTTCCAATGATAAGAACATCTATTATCCTGATGACTGTGAATGTTTTAATAGCACTGGATAATTAGCCCTCAAATAATGAAAAATAAAGTTTTTTGAAATAATGACAACCATTGATTTCAAAAATTGCAGCACGCCTTTTAGGAGTGTGATTATCGTATCACTCTTTTCTTTGTGCTTTTCATTTTGTGCTTTATAATTTCAGTCAATTAAGGCAAAATTTCTACAAAGCTGAGAGGACTGACCCAGACAATCAAAACAAAACTAGAAAAGTGTTCATTTTAATAATTTTGTAATAAAAAGTTAAGATTAAAAAAGAAAGAAGGAATTAAAAAAAAACAAGAAAAAATATTTTAAAATCATAGATAAAATAAAGTAAGCTAAAGTTGTCATGAAAGCAGCTTGAACCGACCTGAGTGAGGAGGTCCATCTCCCCCAGCAGGTCACTGAACATGGCGTCAATGTCTTCCATCTAAAGACACGACAGAAGCAACAACTTTTAATCAACATGAATATAACATGCACGCACGCATGCACGCACACACACACACACAACAAGCAAAAAAATAAAAATAAAACACTGAATTTCACAATGTATTTAAGAAACAGAAAGATGAGAAAATAAGTTTTAAAATGATTCTGAGTCTCAAGTCTGGAGCTCAACTTGAGATCCTCAGCTAATCTGAAATGTTAGAAGAGTTGARGTTTGCCATAGAAGATGTGATAATGCTGCTCAAACATTTTAGATTATTTTTTACAAGTTGGGACAATCAACATATTTTAAAACAATCGACACAATTAATGACTTTAGATATGTATATGGCTGCAGAATAAACCTTGATTGAGAGTTTATGCATCGATAAAAAACAACAAAAGATATTAGAATGTGTATAGACGTGCATATCCTTCAAATACAAAAAGTTAGAGAAAACATAATATTTAAGAAACTTGACATAATACATAATTTTACCCATTTTGCCTCAAACCTGGCATACTTACTTTTGAACTAGGCTCAGCCAAATACAAACAGGAAGTGACATAAAAGGGGGACTCTTTAGGAAAGTGGCTTCGCTGGTCTTTGATTATTAAAACAGAACGCTGACTCTTTTACATCTCTCTGATAGTGATTCAAAATAATCTAAAGGCATTTCAGATTCTTCTCTATTGTCTGTTGTACTCTTGTTTCCCTGCAGACATTTCGGTTTGACATCACTTCCTGTCATTTTAAATGCAAATATCTCAACAACTGTTTATCTCAGCGGAGGGAAATTTGTTTTGCAATGTGCTATCAATGTTATGTTTTCAATAATGCATTCATGTTTATTACCAAAAAAAGTCACAGGTATTTTAAATGTTACCCACTAATATTCACAGGGTGATAGAGGCTTAATAGCATAGCATTGATTTGATTTATTGATTTAACAGGAAAAAATTACTAAAAATCAAGCCTGACTCAGCATAATTGCTGTTTTACTGCAGGTTTCTGTTCTGCAGCACATAAAACACTCAGAAATACAGCATCACAGTCACATCATTATACACCATAATACACAAAGACAAACAAGCATACCAAATTTCAGGAAGGCAGCATTTGCAAAACGTCTAAATAAAGCATATCACACCACAAAAGATATTTACAAATATATGTCAGGTTACGAGGAAGCTGTTGTCATTTAGGTCAGATTTAAAGCAGATGAAAGTGGTCTGGGTCATGAATCCACTATTTTTAAGCCCAAATCTGTTTTTGCTGAGAAAATCTAACTTTTTTTATTTAGTTGTCAGTATCAGGGCCATGTGTTCTGAATCGTCTTTTAAACTGAGTAACATCCAAACATTAAAACAATGACAACATAGAAAGTGGTGGATGGTGAAATAAATAAATTTGCTGAGAGAAAAAAAGCAAATGTTAAAAGCACACATGGTGCACGGAGCCAGCAGAATGCAACTCAACTACCTCAGTTTGAAATGCGTGCAAAAATATGTTCCCTGAGGCTACGCTATCTTCACAAAACATCTCCAGCCAACACTGAAAGAAGACACCGTGTATGCCTAACTCCAGGCATATCATAATTTGTCAGAACTTGCCGTGTCTTGTTGCGTGTCAGCGTTTCCTGTCAGATTCAAAAAGTGCTGAAGTTGACTTTATTATAGTCAGGTATCTCAGAGTGTTTTTACACACTGAGGAAAGTTAGATTCAAAACACATACACACAAGCACCACCAACACCAAAATCTAACACCAATTTATTTTTAAGGAAATATGGTCAGTCCTTATATGTGATATCATCCACTAAGCAAGTATGTGTGCAGTGTTCCAGTCACAGTTTCTGAAAATAGCAGCTGGTTTTAAATAGAAGGATAAAAAAAATTTTTTTTTTGAAAAATGCTAAATCCTCCAAATAATAATTTTAAACTAGTTACTGTGAGGGTTATTCATGCTTTTATATTTTCTAGACCAGGGGTGCCCAAACATTTTCCCTGCAAGGGCCAAAATAAAAATCAATCTGAGGGTGGTATAGTATTTCTACATTAGACAGGAGATTACAATCTGGTAACTAGGATAACTGCTAGTGGGCCAAATCAAATGGCTTGGCGGGCCAAATTTGGCCCACAGGCCCCACTTTGGGCACCTCTGTTCTAGACTGAACTACTGCAATTCACTTTATAGTGGAATTGACCAGTCTCTTCACCGTCTCCAACTGGTCCAAAATTCAGCAGGGCGTTTAACGGGGACAAGACGTGTGAGCTTGTTATCCCTGTACTACACTCTTCACTGGCTGCCTGTTCCTTTTAGGATTGATTTTAAGTTTGGCACCTTCTTATCTGTYTGATGTTMTACATCGCTACCATCCCAGTAGAGCTCTGAGATCTGAAGATCAGATGCTCTTGGTTGTTCCCGGGACTCGGCTGGTGACTAAGGGGGACAGAGCCTTCTCAGCCATAGCTCCTAAACTCTGGAACAAGCTTCCTCCCTCTGTGAGGTCTGCCAGATCACTTGATATTTTAAATATATTTTAAATACATCTTTTTGGCTTTTAATTCTAGAGAGCACATGCGGTAGGCCAGTTTTTTTACGTTTTGTATTTTTTTTTTCTTAAGGAACTGTTTACTTGATTTTATCTTATTGTATTTTTATTTTGTTGTGCCGCACTTTGGTTGCCGTTGGCTGTGTAAAGTGCTATACAAATAAAGTTTTTTTATTTGATTTGTGGGATGAGCAGAGTTGAGTATTTGGGTTGAGCACATGAAAATTTAGCAAAATTTTCCCTTTAATTGCCCAACAGCTTGTTTTGATGTTGCTATTGACACTTGTTTTGAGCTTTCTGTAGCCCCAGGTGTCGTTAATCATGAGAGTTGTTACCAATAAGCAATTCCCGTACTTTATGTAAGTATGTTTTTACTTTTTCTAAGTTATATATAATTGTACATGATCTTGTAAAGCTTTAGAGTGATTTAGAGGAGCTAGCAGCCTTGACTTACTGCTTTGTGCTCCACCCACTTCCCTCCTTTCATGATTACATATCACTGTTTCCRGCATGTTGGAGCAGTGCGAACACTCTTGTGGGTTCGCCAGCGACGCTTGAGCGGGTTTGGCGCCCATGCATGCGATGCACATTGGGTGAGGGTCCCGACCAGAGATAGAGGCTCCGCATGACGCGGGGCACGTTCGGGATACCACCTCCTTGGCTTTAGGTTCCGACCCCTTGGTGAGGGCRGGWGCTGTAGCCATGATGATGGACAGAGAGCTCATCGTGACACGTTAGCTATCTTTCGGGAAAAAATTTGCCGCGGGATTAAAACCGAGCAAACCTCCTAAAACTTAGCAGCTCATCGTGACACGTTAGCTGAAAGTTTACGGCTAGCAAAGTAATGCCAACTCAAAGTGATGCTAGCTCACCTTGACGCGTTAGCTAAAGTTACAACTAGCACCATTCGGTTAATTAAAGTCGAGCAGTAGCGGGGGACAGCTCGCCTTAACGCGGTCACTGCTCCTGAGTGCAACTAAAGATACTTCTCACAAAGTCTTACTCAGCACGAGTCCAAAGCTGAAGCCAGGAAAAACTGCGTTCAGCGACGTACTCCTTAACGGGACGCCTGGGAACTGTTTAGCAGCTAACCTAGCTAGTCTGAAAGCGCTGAGGGAGCTTGTTGTAGTTTTTCACGGGAAGAAAGCGAGAATGAGTTGGGAGTGGTCAGTTGACCGTGATATATTGGGGGGGCGGAGCCCTGAGCACGGCTCAACCGGTCTGTCTCAGACAGACGTAATGTCACTGGAGCTTCCGTAGATGGTCATGCAGGAGCGTTTCCCATAGTGAAACACCGAACGAAGTTAGAAATCAACCTATTTCAGTATCCATGTGTTCTAATTCAGATTTCCTACATTATCTTGGCCAAAAAGTTGATTTAAGCCTCTGTAGTTGTGTTATTTTTCCATTTTGGTCTATTTTTTTTTGGGGGAGGGGGGGGGTGGCCTTAACCACTGTTGGACCATGAGTGCTAACGCCTCCACTTAAAGAGTAACTTACCCCCAAATTAACTTTTTTTTAGCTGATAAACTGTCTAGAATGTGTCTAAAATGTTATATAGTACTGTTTCTGTGCTAATTTTGATGTTTTTGTGCGTATTTGTTCAAATCTGTAATATTTGGTCTAAAAACGTCTTTTTGCTGCTCATATGGGTAGAGCAGTGGTACTGCAGGCTAATTTGCATATTGGTTAACGGCTCTCCACGGTGACGTGTCTTCTCCACGGTTTCGTCACAGCGGCTGTGTTCTGGTATATAAACCTCTCTCTAAGACACGCCCCTGCAGCAGTCAGAGGGTGGAACAGTTAGCAAGCTTAGCATGATCGTCTGTTGACCTTCAGCCTCGGGTGGGGAGAGCTGACTGCTGCGCTGCTCTCTCTCTCTCCCCACACACCCACACACACCAGCAGTACGTCCTGCACAGCGGGAGGGGAGGAGGGAAAAAAAGGCAGAAAGACGCGGGGCATCTGCAGCCCTAATGAACCAAACTTCAGTCAAACAAGACCCAACACTTTTATTMCTGATTTAAACTAGTGATCTTGTGAGCAGCTGCAGCTGTATGCTTTTWTTTTTTTCTGTCAGGCTGTCGCGGAGCGCTCCACCTCCTCTGTCCRRKGCTGGTGTGGTGTGAGGCGGACAGCTCAGCCGAGGCTGCTGGAGCTGGAGCTCAAGGTCCTGACCCAGGGAGCCAACATGAGTCAGTCCCAGACTGACCTGACTTGATCAAGTCTCTCTCTGCCTCTGGTGAGGAGGGGGGTGAAAAATCCTCCACCTCAGACCGTTTAGAGATGAAACTATCTGCGTCGCTGTGGTCACTCTCCATGTAGCATCAATTATGCTAATGCTAGCTGTCGCATTCTCTCGTCCTGGCCACACCTCCGCTCTCTAACCCACACCCCCTCCTCTACCCACACCCCTCCCCTACCCACTTTGATGCATTTTTCAAATTTCGCCTTGGGGCAGAGTTATCTTTTCATGGGTGGGGGTGGGGGGGGGGTGTAAGATACACTTTAATGGGGCAGGGGTGTGGGCCAGCACATTGGAGGAAGTGGTGAAGAGTAAACTTCCTGACACTCGCAGTGTTGAAACTGTGTCGGAAATGGTGTCAGCAGCCACCTACCAACTGGTAGTGCATGCTTCTCTGTTTACCACCGCGTTCAGCTTGTGGCTGATAGGATGTTCTGCTCAGTGGGTAAAAAAAATAAATCAAAACAYGAAATATTTCCTTTAGTTGTCAATGTTGTAGAGTATGACAAGTTTTATGGCTCATTTTGTCTTATTCTCTGGAGGCGTCGCATTTTTATTTGTGTTACGATAAATCTAATATAACGGYGACACAAATAGTTTAGCCTTTTGCTCGGAACTGGGAGGCCGAGCCCTTTAAGCAGACTGCCCTAAGCTCACACACACACTGTTACAACAAGAAAGAAACAAGCTGACTGCGAATGAACAGATTGTGAAAATATCTGCTGATGGAAGCAAAAGTTGGCCTGGTCCGGTGAAACACTTCCTTCTCAGATAAGGACGAAAATGGCTTGTGCTTTTAGACAAGTGGCAACAACAAAAAAAKATATAATGTTTTCAGATGGCTTTTGTACTGCGGCTGAAAAAACACAGACACAAATGGTGCCAAATGAGGACCTGGTTGTAAAGTTATGTTAAAAAAAGTGACTGAACGTTTTCATACATTAATATGAGTATAATTCTAATTGTATGTCATATAAAATGTCACWTTTCAGATTTAGCTGAAAACATCAGAGTTGAAATAGATCTGTTGCGTAATCACGATATGTGTTAACCCTGCCAGAGAACTCCCTTTTATTACAGCAGGTGTATCTGCATTTTGGTTAAGCTTTTAAGACTGCATAAAGTTCTACAATGTCMTTTTATCATATTTCTAAAGCTGCTGACAAGTGAAGATTGCCATGTGTGATCTAAGATAAAGAGAAAAATAATGTGATTTCATGTCTTTATTTTTGACAAGCACATCCAGCAGAGGAATTTCAAAATTCCTGAGCTCATATTCAGTTTGTGAAAACCCAAAGCTKTACTTCTATTAGCCAGAAACTCATCAAAACAGTTTCCTTTCCTCCAGCACACCCTCATACATGTTTAAGCACATAAAGAGCTCAAAAAACTGAGGCGAGTTGATGCAATTCTGAAAGCTCCCGCTCAGTCAGATACAGTATCTGAACTTGTGGCTTCAGCAGATGTGTTAGAAAAGAAAGAAGAAAAAAAATAGCCGAGAGGCACGAAAACCACAAACGTTTAACTGACATGTGTGTGACAAAACAATACCCTGGAGTGCATTTCAAAATAAAACATTTAAGTTCCTCATTAATAATGTAGAGCTAAAAATTGAAAAAACTAAATCCCCTCCTGCACATGAGTCACTGACGTGTGTGTGTGATGACTAAAATGGTGCTTGACAACACTCATAAAATAAACACCTTCACAAATAAACAGACTTTAATTCATTTCACAAATGATGAATCAAATCATTTTATATCCAATTCAAAATCCCTTCTTTAATTAAACCCTATTGTCTAAATGTTACATATTCTCTTCATGGARAGTGGAAAAAACTAAAACAACAATAGATTTGTGTGGTTGTTACATAACTCAGAAGTCCCAAGGTAAAGCCGGTTCCACCCAGTTGTAAAAACACACATTATTATTTATTATATAAGCATTAAACTTACGGTTGTTTCATGTATTAACCTAATTACCTTGTAACATTTTTGGCAGTATTTCTACTGAATCTGACAAGTTGTGTGTCTGTTTCTGTGGATGTGGACACAARATGTTTCAGATTTTCTGTCTCTGTTATTTACTTTGTCTTTGACCTCATCAGTAAAGTCAAGTTATTGTAGTTGGATGTGTGACATGAAGAATAAATGCAGTGTTCAGTCATTGTATGAGACGAATAAAGCAAACACCTTATGTTCAGAGAAGAGCYGCTTTAGAGATTTACCGTTAACTGAAGGAACAAAATCCAGTTTAAAAGTAACTTAACTCACCTTTTCAGATGTTTTAATCCTCTTTTCCCAAGAAAGTTTCACAATAAAAGCCTAGTGGACATTAGCTTCACCCTATAAAGACTATTTTCTGACTAAACTGAACCCAGATGAGATGATCTCCACATGCAGGCAGATCTGGGTGTGTTGATTGCATTTGACTGCGGCTGTCGACTTCTTCCTGCTCAATGCGGAAGTTCAGGTCTAGACCTGCCACTGCATTCCTGCTGMGAGCTAAAAACTTTCACAATCATCTTGTCAGGGCAACATTGGACCGCCCTCCCCCACCTCCCCGGACCCTTCTTTCTTAACGGCGTCCCTTATCTGTTAACTGTCAACTGTTTCAAAGCTGCTTCAGACCAATCTGAAAACATGAGGTGGTGTGGCCTGCCAGTCGGGATGATGACTGAGAAACACTTGAGCAGATTATGAAGCGTTTGGAAAATACCACAGCAAGCAGGTGAACCAGCACAAGGATGGGACTCGGTTAATCATTCGCCTCTCCGGAACTCATTTACAGCAAATCCTGAGTCAGGAGTGGCAGGTCTGAGCAAAACTGAACCTCCTGACACAGATTTAAAAAAACATTTTTTTAAACAACTTGCTTTATAAACGTCATAATGACACATCTTTTTAGACAAACAAAATATGATCTAAAAGCATTTATACATTGTATTTGCTTAAATTAATGTTTCAGATGTTTTAAATTGGGATTCTTGAAGATTTTTTTCCAACCAGACTGATGAACTAACTAGTCTGAGTGGTGTCAAGACCAAATACTAAAAATATCAAAATGGTTGCACTATTTTATATTGTTGTTCATTTCACATTATATGGTTATTTATATGGTTTTGCAAGCACATGGGGGCAGTGACAACTAGCTGTAGCACTCCACATCCTTCTAGAATATCATAATATTTCTATTTGAATAACTTTGTAACGTGATGCTGATGTTTGTAAAACAGCATTAGCATGAACAACTTTTTATATACTGTAATGGCATATTTTGCATAAAAGGGCCTAGGAGCAATTCACTCTGGTTTTGACCTTACTCAGACTAGCCTTTAGCTCATCAATTCAGTCACTATTAACACTGATCTCTGCTCCGTGTTTTTTTTTTTCCGTACTGGTATCTGTATCTGAATCAGAATCTGCAATACTAGTCCTGTATTTACTTGGTTTTGAATCGAAACCAAAATTCTTGGAATCGACTACCCCTAATCAAAACCCCAATTTCACCAAACCAAGGTCATTCAAAGAACTATCTACAGCAGGTAAGATATTAATTGTTCATAACAGCCTCACAAAAGTCCACAGTAGAAAATGTGAACCATCGAATAAGCATTTTACCATTTATCATCCATTTTTCTCTTCAAAATCTTTACTTTTTACAGAAAGACAACCTTGTAGTGACCCTAAAGTGTATCAGACTGGTTGAAAGCAAATAAGTGAATATGCCATTCTCTGGGTTTCTGATACACTGAAGAACRTTAAGAAAATATCATAGAATGAGAACATTTAAAAAGCAAACAACACACTGTCTGTTTGGAGGCTAAAGATAAAAAGAGGGTAACATTTACAACAGGATAATGTACCTAAGCACACCTAAGCATATTTTAAAACACTGGTGTTGTGCAGCAGTGTTGATTGATTTCAGGAGAAGCAAAAAATAAAAAAATATTCAAGCTTTCACAAGAGCCAAAACAATTCAAGTTATCGTGTTATAAATAACGTCTGGTTCCTATCTCACTGTGCAGACACAGAAAAGCTCCATTTATTTGCATTTCTCCTTGGGAGGTCAGCAAACAAGATTACACTTTTTTAATGATATTGAAGCATTACACATGCAGAAATTTTGACCCATTTATGCCTATCAGCACAAATTTTCTTCCCTGATGCAGTTTTCCAGGAAATTGTTAGTTTCCATTTGCATTAATTCTCCATTATAACCTCAACGGAGCTGTGTTTTTCCTTCAGACCTGCCTCAGATCTGATGGGAAATGCAGACCACCCTCACTGTGGCAAAACTTTGTCATCTCAAGGTAAAACGGAGCACCATGGCAGGAAAATAAATAACCTCAGATGCCTCCAAGAGCCCCTCGTGACRTGTGATGAATTAAATAAACACTCTGGGTGCAGGCATGTGTCTCAGCCGTCCTCATTTCCTCTCCCCTCACTGAGGTTGACAAACAGACGGACACCAAAGGCAAACTCTAGAACATAAAGCACGTCGRTGCCGTGGAGAATTTCTCAAGTAAACACCCCGATTAATGGATGTGGAGCTCGGCAGCAAGGAAGGAGGCGATTTGTCTGCTTTGTTGTTGTCTTGACTCTGACACCGAGGGTGGTCCAAAAAAGTGTTGGTTCCAATAGAGGATATAATGCAGTTTTTACAACACCGCTCAAAGACAAGAAATTGATTCAAACTGTTGTTTTAGACATTTAATCAAACTGTGTTTGTGTCAAATAGAGCTGCAAAGTCAAGTTTTTGGAATGGACCTGAGGGGCCCATCAGGACCCCAGATGGTATGCACACATCCCATAACCATTATATGCATTTCATGAACAAAAAAGAGGGAACCTTACAAAGAAAAATCTAAATCATTTGTTGGATGTGACAAGATRTCCCTGAGATCAAATGAAAAGCCATGTTGGAGTGTTGCACTGCCCTCTGTTTGTACTGACTGGGTGGTGTTTAAATGCTGTCTAATTAGACTTTTTTTTCCCTCTTCTGCGGTGCAATAATCAGCACAGTGAGTTCACACCCATGAAACAGAAGGGTGGTTTGATATTTTTACAGTTTACACAGCCACTCTACAAGATGAATTCTTTTGTTTCCTGCACTAATTATAACTTGTTACCAAAAAGCAAAAGTTGGGTAATAT